GCTTCTCGTTAGGACGAATTGTTGATCAATTTTTGCTTTTGTTTATTTGCTTTTGTAGATGGAAAATCACAACTTGTTTTTTTTTTAATCTTTTTGTAGATTGAATTGATTGCAAACATGTAAATTGATTGCAAACATGTCATTATGTTTCTTTTTTCTTGTTATCACAAATTCGTATGATCATTTTTTGATCAATTTTGCTTGTTTTTGTTTGTTTTGTAGATAAATTCTATTGTAGACATGATTGACAATGATAATTTTTCTATAATCTCTCAAGCTGTTGTTGTGACTAATGTGATGAATATAGACAATGAAGTTGAGTTAAATGAAATATTGGAATATGGAATTGGAGATGAAGATGATGAGGAAACATCTTTTGACAATAATGTTAAAGTACCTTTAACTTTTACTAATATGAAAGGAACAAATTGACTATTGATGACAATTGGATTATGACACAATCAACGAGTAGAAATGATTTTACGCGAGAGTTGGGAAAAGATTCTTTCAAGGATAAAGAAGAACTTGTTAGAGCAATCAAGATCCATAACATTAGGACACATAGACAATTTGAGGTCATTGAGTCACGCCCAACTATTTGGACTCTAAGATGCAAGTTGTACTTACAATCTGGTTGCAAATGGAAACTTCATGCATATCTTACATGGTTTGATATACTTAGTTCACTATAAACAATGCTTTGATATCAATCTGTCACACCCCCAAACCAGGATGGCGGATACGTATGAGGGTGTATGACTTTCATGTATTGTATCATAACATAATGAATAATAGTGATCAAAGCAACACAGCCCTCATAATTATAATTGGGAAAATTACATTGTATCCGAATGTTGTTTGTTTCAATTCCAATTACATTACGACAAAATGAATAGTGTGACGTTGTAACGTCCATCCTCACAACTTTGTAATTATCTTGCTTAACGATTCCCTGAGAATACAAGTAGTTTGAAAAAGTGTCAACAATTAAGTTGGTGAGTTCATAAGAGTTTGTATGAAGAATTGTAAGCCTTTCCTTGTAAAATGAAAGTGTTCGTTTCCGGAAAATCCAATATTTTCCTTAAAAATGAGTTGTAGTCTTAGAAACCCTAAGACCGGAATGTATAAGTATTTTTATACTTAAAATAGTAATATGTAGTTTTAATCTATATAAAACCATTTGAATGTATGTTTCCCCGTGCTAAATGTATCGTTGATCTTGAAAATCAGTTATAGTCTTAGAAACCCTAAGACCGAAATGTATAGGTATTTCTATACTTCAAATAGTAATATGTAGTTTTATTCTTATATAAAACCATATGAATGTATGTTAGCCCAATAAACCAAATGTATTGTTAATACCCCATGTGAGTTATTATAACCATGCTAAAGACATAGATGACATGTTACGACGTTCTTCAGGCGTCGGAATGTTATGACATTTGTCACCCCAGACCTGCCGGTCTAGCTGTTGCAAGCAGCTTAGGTGCGAGAATGTCCGTCCCGTATAGATCTATACACAAGTATCATGCTCTCTTACTGGAGATTCTGGTTATAATACATGACTTTTGTAGGTACTCTGGTAGGTACGGTGAAGACTATGTCTCACAAATTTGTATTAACAGGTTTACATATAGTGTAATGAAAACCTTTTTGTAAGTGGAAATATTACCTTTCCATAGTGATTACATAGTGTAAAATAATTATACCTTTAAATAATTATTTGTTCCTCCCAAAAATGGTAAAATAGTGTTAATGACCCATAAACTATACCCATTATAGTTTATCATATATGTTTTGTTGTAATGAAAACATTTGTATGTGTAATTATCACTTTACCATGATAATAAAACAGTAGAAAATAATTATATATGTCTTTATATAATTATCTACCTTGTTCAAAATGTTACAATAGTGTTAATGTCTCATAAATTATACCTATTATAATTTATTATAATAGTTCATTTGTACCCATATATATATATATATATATATATATATATATATATATATATATATATATATATATATATAGAGGCTAACATGCTTAGATATTCATAAATAATAATTATTTTACATCAAGCACAAATAAGTGAGTCCTTAGTATGAAAATGTCCATTTTTCTAGTTTTTGACTTTTTCATAGAGAAATCTTTGATCAAGGATATAACAAGATCCATTTTGCATCATATCTAAGGGATTCCTTGGTTCGGGTCGAAGAAGCAATGTCACTCGATCCTTATCAAACTGACTGCATGTCCGTGAGGATCCCACCAGAGCGCCTTCCACTTCTAATAGGCCACGAACTAGACCAGAATCATTCTCAACGAGTCCATAAGGAGTGATCTCATTTTTTTCATCGGGTCCGGGTAGAGACCAAAGATCTTGAGTGACCGATCCGGCATTTGGATCCGTAAACTCTCAGAGCTTAGAAAATGAGTCTACCAGAGTGAAAATGTTCATTTTTACAGACTGGTCCGAAATGTTCTGAAACGATAGACAATTTTGTAAAAATCACCATAAATCGTAGAAAAATTGTGTGAATGCGTGCGAGTAGTACTTAAAAAGCTATAGACCTGAACTATTTGCATATTGTACAGTTTTGAAATCTATTAAGTTTAAGAAGGGTAAAACAGTCCGTGAACAGACCACAATTTTTATGTAAAAAGTTGATTTTTAAGCTTAGATATGTTTTAGTGACATAACTTGTATTTTAAGTTTGCAAAGCCTTTAAATCATCCAAATAGGATTTGTTTACTTGTATTCCCCCCCCCCCCCCCTAAAACTTGGAAAAACTCGAAAATGAAGGGGTATGAACTCACCTTATGTGTGTTTTCTTGATGAATGAAAGGTTGTAGATGGAAAGATTCAAGTCAAGAACACTTGAAGAACACTTTGAAGATTTGAAGATCCTATGAATAGTAACACATGATAATGTGTGTAAATTGATAGAAACTAGTTTATAAGGGTGTAGAATCACTAGATTAAGGAGGAAGTACTTACCAAAAACTCAAGAATCAACTTGGAAGAACTTAGCTATGGAAGATGAGAGCTTATATTGGAGAAGAAGATGAAAAATGATGAAGATGGTGGTGAATAAAAGGCCTCTTGGCCGAGTTTAAGAGAGAGAAGAGGAAGGAGGGTGGATGAGGTGGGTAGGGTGAGTTATGAGGGGTATTAGATGGTGTTGCAAAAAGAAGAGACCAACTTGTCTAGTTTTGGGGTTAATGTAATGACATAAAGGTTGTTTGTTTAGGACGGGGGACATTATATTAACTACTAACTTTTATTAAAAAAAAAAGTCAAACCTTTATAAACTCTTGACATTTTTATAAAAATGATGTGTTTTTAATAAAAAAAAGTATGATATAAAGGGTGCATAAGATATTTAATTTGAATTATAAAAATTCAAATTATCATAACAAACATTATTATTAAAATAATAATACGTTATATGAAAGTTAGGTCGAATTTCCAAGTTCGTTCCGTTAAAATTGGGTGTTTAGCCGAATATAGACTTTGTCGCATTTGGTGACGAATTCACCAAAAAAATTGTGTTTGTAGCCTTTGCTATGAATTTTCCCCGTAATGTAAGGTTTATGAACTTCACTACATTGAGTTATGAATATTATTTATACTAAAATAATATAAAATTGAATTACCGAATTGTTACGATACTAACCTTATTTCGGGTTTATATTCGATAATTTGCAACCAGAGAGGTGCTTTGTATTATAACTTGTCAATGGTACATTAGAAACATTAGAGAATATCACATTTCTCCTAAAATTCTAATATGATTTGAGCTAACCTGGTTGACTTTTATTGACTTTGTTTGACCAAAAATTGACGGTTGTCACATCATCCCCCCGTTATGAGGAATTTCGTCCCGAAATTAGCATTCCGAGTGGGTCCTCAAGGTTTGGGGAAAAGATGTGAGTATTTTTGTTTCATTTGGTCCTTGCGTTCCCAAGTAAACTCAGGTCCTCGCTTGGCGTTCCAACGGACCTTCACTATGGGTATGCGGCTTTGTTTCGTCCTTTTGACCTCCCTGTCCATGATTTCCACTGGTTCCTCGATGAAGTGGAGACTCTCGTTTATTTTGATTTCGTCAAGTGGAATGACGAGGGTCTCGTCAGATAGACACTTCTTTAAGTTGGACACATGAAAGGTGAGATGCACGCTGCTGAGTTTCTGCGGCAGTTGAAGTCTGTAAGGTACCGGGCCAATCCTGGCAAGGATCTCGAATGACCCGTTAAACCTTGGATTCAGTTTCCCGCGTTTCGTGCTCCGGATGATTATTTTATAAAGAATAAGATTGATGAATGTTCATCGGTAATTTCCTATAACTCCTTCAATATTGAGATTACTTTATTTTCACCTTAATTGATTTAATTTTATTGATAATTTTGACTTTGCCCTTTGGAATATATGTATCCAGATGTCCTGCCTAATTAAACATTTCCTACTTTCTGTTGGTTGATTAATAATATCCACAAGGAATTCTAATGATTTAACACTTCTGAAGATATTTCACACATAAATCTATCGTACCCATCACTGCCAACTATCCTTCTGAAATCCATTAAAGATTTTTCCTGTTTATTTTGAAGGTATATCATAATTTGTGGGATGAGTTGCTGTGAGACAAAACCAGATTCCATTTATATGAAGAATCTTTTGCTGAGGGTATCAAATATAAGAAGTGGGCTGAAATTGCTAGGTTTTTATAATACATCACTGTCCAATTGTACAATCTTTTACTTTTTTCGGTTTCTTGATTTATAAATTATTTATAAGATGTATCCGAAATGCAGTGATTGGAGATCACATGAGAGGGAAAAAAATAAAGTCGCTTTGCAATGATGTGCTCATTGGAGGATTATGTTTATCGATGTGCTCATTGGAGGATTATGTTTATCGATGAAGTTTTTCAGCTTAAAACATCAATGGCTGACAAGGTCTTGGTTTTTGGTTAATATACTTACACAACACTCATAGATGGGGATATCCAAAGCGAAGAGGTTGGAAGAAGCAAAGACAGTTCTAGAAGATATGTCAAAGGTAGGCACATATCTTGACCATGTGGCATATAGTGCTTTGATTGATGGGTTCATGAAACAAGGGTGTGTAGATGAGGCTTTGAAGTTGAAAGATGAAATGTTTGTCAATGGAGTCAAGTTAAATGTTTTCACATACATTTCAATCATATTTGGGCTCTGTAGAGCTCATCGATTTGAAGAAGCAATTGGAGTATTGACAGGTATGAAAGAAAGAGGTACTCCACCTGATGTTTATTGTTGCTATAGTTCACTTATAATCGGTCTTTGTAAAGAAAAAAAGATGGAACAAGTGCAGTCAATGTTAATTCAAATGAAGAATAACGGTGTTAAACCAAATGCTTTGCTTTACTGCAAGATATTGCCCTCATCACAGGTGATTGTTTCCCAATTTAAATATTCATATATGATTACGCTTTCATGGGTCACTTATGTATAGTCAGTATCTACATTAGAATGCAATTGGCGATGGATTTCTAGCTTAACAGATATGATACACTGTTGCATGCCATAATTTGTTACATCCTTTCTAATGAGATGATTAAATGGTGGGTTCCTTTAAGTTAGAGATAGTTAATTTTACATTTATCTCAATAATCTCTTACAACAACTTCTTACTTGGTTTTGATATCTAATGTTTTCAGTGATTAATACTAAGAAGGTCTATCAATTATTCATATATCAGATGTGTGAAAATTTTCTTCTGTATGGATGAATTTTTACAGTGGCTTTAGGTTAGGTGAAAGTGAGACTCTTTTGTATCTTTAATTCTTTATTAAACTAAATTTGTTTGAAAATAACACAAAGCCGACCAACCCACCTGACCCGTTCTGAATTCGGGTTATTTGGTCGGTTCGATTGGGTATCGCGTATGGAAAATTGGGTATTCGGTTAACCCGGTATTTAATTAGTTCGGGTATCGGGTAGACGTAAAGAAATTCGAATATACCCAATTTTTTTAATTTTATTTTTGAATAAATTAGCTATAATAACTATTGAAGTTGTCTTTTTTTTTTTTTTTGTCAAAAGAAAAACGAACAACCAGACAACTGTTGATGCATTCATTGTACATACATACTTCCCTCCTGTGTTACGAAGTTTTTATTGCCAAACCATAATGATATTTAAAATATATTATAAATGAGTAATCTTTCATTATGAATAATTATCATATGCATTTTCCGGATGTTACCTCTAAAATAATTTTGTTAACAAAAGATGGCCCACACTCATTGTTCATAAGGTTGTAATAAACGAATAAATGAAAATACATTGCTATTTCTTGTATGTAACCCTTTGATTTTTTTTTTTCCTTTTTTTATAAAATTTCAGGTGGTGGCGGCGAGTTTTCTACCAATTCTTGCCCCTACGGAACCTTGTGCTATCAACAAAGAACAACAGATAGCATTTCATGAATTGCCAATTGCACTAACCTCCATTGAGCTAAATATGTGATGAAAGAAGTTTATAAAACGGTCAATAAAAAATTGGGGGATGTATCTTTAGAATGCTGCAAGTGATAGGAAGGTACTTTAATTTCTTTTTTTTTGTTATAAAGTTATCGATTAATCTTTTGTCCATTAAATCCTTACATTTTTTATATTTCTCTTATTGAAGTGTTGTACTTAGAAGACATGACAATGGCATCTCATGAATCTCTTTTGCAATATTTGAACTACGAAAAAATCTACGACAGTCCGATTTCTGTTGTAGCCCCAACAAAATATCAAGCCACAACAACCACAATGGATGCAGTAGTATCAAATCTCACCAATTCAGCAGCAGCCACAACATGTGTTACAGATAACAAAATGAGGTGAGCATTAATAATCCATTTCATGAAAAAGTACAAAAGGTTATTTCTTAAAGATGATGATTTTGAATATTTTTTTATGGATGCAGTAAAGATCTGCTGCACTAACAAGAAGCAGGGGTATACTTGTCTTTTTTTGGGATTTTCTATTGTTCTAATGGCTGAAGCGGTTCAGCCATTGTCTGATGGTGGTAAACAGGTAGGTGATGTTTGTTACAAACACAGAACCAAGTAAACATTTTGTATTCCTTTTGTTTTCGTTGATTTGGTAAATAAACTCACATGTCATGCCAGTCAAGAGACTTGGAATTTGCAACAACTTGAACGTTGGTATGTTACAAATGACAATTTCTGAAACTATTTTTTTTCAACTAACACAAATGCATTTCAAACCAACAAATCTGAAAACAAAAATGCCTTCGCATGGGTCTCTTCACTAGTTGAGAAAAAAATAAGGATCATACATTTCCAATTTAAATGTATAAAAATTAAAATAAAGATGGATTATAAAAAGGGTGGGGGAATAAATCATGTGGAGGTTCAAAAGAGGTTTTGATGATGGTGGTTATAAGGGGTATATTAGGTGAAACACAAATTTAATAAGTGGATAGATAAAAAAAAAAGGAAGTGGAAATATCACTTCACTTCACTTCACTTCCCATAATAAAAGAGTGGTATTGTCCACATGTCATCTCTTAAATTCAGAATTTTACAAAGTTAATTACCTATTTTACCCTTCTCCATTTTGTTTTCCTGCAATCAAATTGAATTACAAATCATCTATCGGTCGACCTATAATCTCTCCTCCAATTTCGCATTCTGGTTTTTGGGAACCAAATCACTCTCTATCTTTCCGGCGCTCTATAAGAAACCCTACATCAACGCGGTTTATATAAGTCGATCACCACCATTGCGTCGTTGATGGTTCTTCCTGTATATTGATCGGTCGATGGTTCTTCTTTGACCCAATTTTCTAGGGTTTTCTTTGATTTTGTTGAAGTTTGCATTTTTCTATTTCTACTTTGACTCTTATTGCTAAATCAGTTATTTTTCTAGGTTATTTTTTTTTGTTATTCGAATTCATTTATGGATTTTCTTCAGGGATTGTTTGTTCTTGCCAATTGTGAAGTTGGTAAAAGTAGTCTTCTATGTCGATTAACAAGGGTATAATTTTGATTTTGGTTTTATACGGTGTTACAGTGGTTGAAGGAGATGCAAGCATCATAAAGGGTATGTGTTTTAGGCAATAATTCTACCACACTTCTTTTCCCATTTTTTTATAATGCCTTCGTTTCTCGTAGAAACAAAGCCCTCACCGGTCACCACCACCATCAACCTATACACGTCGCTTCTCACTAACTAATCCACACTTTTAATCATCATATTCTTCTTCTTCTTTCCATTTTTATGCACTTGGGATCAGATAAAGTGTTGCTCCTCTTCACTTCATTGTTGTCGGTCATCTTTTTTTGCACGGTTTTTTCTGCAAATTGCATCTAAGCCTGAAAAAATTTAGGGCTTAAACAAGCTCAATGTTTCCAAGAACAAGACATAGTGATTGTCATTAAATCTTAGGTAACTTTGTCTAATTCGTATGAGGTAAGAGATATCACATTTCAGTTGTTGCAGTGAGGTTAGAGATATTTGGAAAATTTATTGATGAGTGGAGTAGAACTTCTTCAAATAACAATCGATATGAATGATATTCAAAATGTTGCACAATGGATAGAGCAGATTCTTCCTTTCTATTTGCTTCTCTTATTTGTTTTAATGTGCCAACATTTACAAGGTAAATTTAGGCAAATTTACTTTTCTTTATTCGTTTTGGCAAATTTAGGGATTCATCCCACATAAATATGCGTCCATTTGTGTGGGATCTTTTAGGTTATTTGGGCCAATTTGGATATATGAAGACAAACATGAAGATAAATACAACACAGGGTAACACTTTTTATGTTACACATCTTTATGCATTGTAATATCCCATAAATAATGACATAAAATTTTCGTTGTTAAATTAATAGATCGTTAATACATATCGTTTCCACAAACCAAGTTAATAAAGATTTATCAAAACATCATTAAATGAGAGTAATTCACAAAATACGGAAACATGTGGTGTGTGCCCTGCAATCATCCCAGGCTCTTCCATTTGAAAACCGAAGTATCTGAAACATAACTGAAAACCGTAAGCACAAAGCTTATTGAGTTCCCTAACATACCAGATATCAAACATATACAAATAAAAACATAATGGTCCCCGCCCTGTCATCGGTCCCCGCCAGACATTGAGCCCCGCTCGGTATACAAATCTGTAAGTCATCAGGCCCCGCCTGGCATCGGGTCCCGCCCGGTATACATATAAACATATAACATGTAAACATATAACACACAACACATGCCAAAATCACAGAGATAAATAGCATACATACCCGACATCGGGGCCTGCCCCGCATCGGGTCGTACCCGGTAATCATAAAAACACATACAGATAACTAGCATACAAGATACTCATCAGGCCCCGCCTGGCATCGAGCCCCGCTCGGTAAACATAAAATACATAACACATGCAAGAGTCATGTAGACAACAAGCATACTAAGCATAACATACCATGGGTCGGCATTGGTGCCTTCGATCCGCTAAGTACAGTGAGGAGACTCACCTCGAACTGCTGAAGTCCCACGAATAAATCTCTGCCTTCTGGCTGACAGATCCCCGAACTGTCAACATCAAAACAAAACTCAATTAATAATTTGGGTTTCAATTCATAACCATAAATCCACACTTGGGGTAAAAGACCATTTTACCCCTAACCTAGCTTGGTCCAAGACCAAGGCCCAAAATCACACTCTAAAGGCCCAAAAGCCAAATAATCAACCAAGGCCCAACTATGGCCCAATTATACAAATTGGGCCCAAACCCCCTTACATGGGACTACTCTAAAGCCCATCCAAATATCCTAGTCCATACACTTGTTCTTAGATGGTCCATTAAGAACCCAAACACCTAAGCCCAAAAGAAAAGGCCCAACTCGAGCCAACACAATTAGGGTTTTCACATAAAATGACGATTAGGGTTATGTAAAAACACTTAACCCATTAAGGACTTAATCCATTAAGTCCATCACTCCACTATGTCAATCATACAATGTGGTCGGGCATAACTCAAAATTCCAATCCAACGGTCAAAAACGCGGGTCCCGGCAAGTCCCAAACAAAAGTCTCCAAGATTAGGGTTTTCTAAACCCTAATTAGGGTTTCCAACCCAAACACGTGCCAATTAGTCCAATGGTTAAGTTTTCGATTAATTTGGGTCTCACTAAGTTGAGCACCACCCACTGCCACCCCGCACGGTGGTGGTTGATGACGGTTCACGGTGGCAGCCACCACCTCTCGGTGGTCGTGGGGGGTTTTCCTTGATTTTCTCCGACCAAGAACACCCATACCACATCTCCTCTTAAAGGAAAAACACACACACACATACACACACCAACCATGTAACATACACAAACACCCATGTGGTGGCAGGCGGTGGTTAGAGATGACAGCCACCACCTCACGGTGGTGGTGGGTTCTCTGTTGGTTCCCTGACAAGCAAACACTCGCCAATCACACGCTAACATACTCAAAACACAAGTTCAACGCTAAAATGCGCACCAAATCTTAGCCACCCTCGTGGCGGCATAAGGCAGTCGGAGAAAAAGGACGTCAACCGTGACCACTGCTCGGATATCAAACTGAAAACCGAAGTATCTGAAACATAACTGAAAACCGTAAGCACAAAGCTTATTGAGTTCCCTAACATACCAGATATCAAACATATACAAATAAAAACATAATGGTCCCCGCCCTGTCATCGGTCCCCGCCAGACATTGAGCCCCGCTCGGTATACAAATCTGTAAGTCATCAGGCCCCGCCCGGTATACATATAAACATATAACATGTAAACATATAACACACAACACATGCCAAAATCACAGAGATAAATAGCATACATACCGGTCATCGGGCCCTGCCCCGCATCGGGTTGTATCAGGTAATCATAAAAACACATACATATAACTAGCATACAAGATACTCATTAGGCCCCGCCTGGCATCGAGCCCCGCTTGGTAAACATAAAATACATAACACATGCAAGAGTCATGTAGACAACAAGCATACTAAGCATAACATACCATGGGTCGGCATTGGTGCCTTCGATCCGCTAAGTACAGTGAGGAGACTCACCTCATACTGCTGAAGTCCCGCAAATAAATCTCTGGCTGTTGGCTGACAGATCCCCGAACTGTCAACATCAAAACAAAACTCAATTAATAATTTGGGTTTCATTTCATAACCATAAATCCACACTTGGGGTAAAAGACCATTTTACCCCTAACCTAGCTTGGTCCAAGACCAAGGCCCAAAATCACACTCTAAAGGCCCAAAAGCCAAATAATCAACCAAGGCCGAACTATGGCCCAATTTTCCAAATTGGGCCCAAACCCCCTTACATGGGCCTACTCTAAAGCCCATCCAAATATCCTAGTCCATACACTTGTTCTTAGATGGTCCATTAAGAACCCAAACACCTAAGCCCAAAAGAAAAGGCCCAACTCGAGCCAACACAATTAGGGTTTTCACATAAAATGATGATTA